CAAGGCAACGCATGTTTAATGGGCTAGATGTAACTATAAAGAACCATTTCAACCCAAAAACTTAAGTTATTAGGTGAGGCTACATTAAAGATTTTAATAATATATTTCTCTAACATTCCCCCTCACACAAAAGTCCATTGAGCTTGAAGTGTGGACAATGCACAGGTCCCTCCTAATCCTACCTATGTTAAAAAACTCCAAAATATGTAATTATTTATTAATAGAATAGAGGCAGTGAGGATCAAACTCGTGACCACTTGGTCACACAGGCTCTGATACAATGTAAAGAACCATTTCACCCAAAATTTTAAGCTATAGGGTGAGGCTACATTAATTGTTTTTATATTATATTTCTCTAACAGTAAAAATCACACAGTGATCTCACAAATTCTATAAACTATGTCATCTGTCATGGTTAGAATTAAATCCCCCTAGTCCAAGTCTTGAGATATTTTTTTCTTTTTTGGTAGATACCAACCGGTGTCCAAAGCCCTACTAGGCCCCATTAATCCGGTTTCAGGTTTGAACCTCTCCATCCTTTGGGCAGGTCAAATCCTGGGATTTAGATGAGACGCCACTAGACCAACAACTTTTGGGTAGTCTTGCAATATTTTTAGCATAAACTACCTTTCAGATTCAGTGTAAGGTAGGAATAAGCCTGTAAAAGGGAAGGGGTAATGATATTGTTATAAAAATCATCCTTATTCCCATACTTAACATCTTAAAATTGTCAGTCAGTGGTTCTGTGGAAGTTAAACTCGTGATGGTCTTTGGCTTCCATCAAATGGTGAAGAAAACTACCTTTTATGTGGAACTATTTACCATCTTTTTTTGGTGCAAACCTATTTATTATCTGTATTAGTTCTTTCTTTACACACTCCATAATTAAAAATAAAAAGCAATAAATCTACCCATAATTTAAATTTCTCTATAAAACAATTTACTTATTTTTCTTTCTATAATGTATATTTACATGCTAATATCTCCCAAGAGCTTAGTTAATAACACATGCTAAAATTGTAGCAACTTCCTCGTCCCATGTTTCGATTAGCCTATTTTGCAATTATAAAAAGCTTTTCAGTCGAAAGCTCTTTCTTGAACAATTTGGAAACAACAACAGCAATAGATTTTTCCTTTAGGTGGGGTTGGTTACGTGGATCAAACAACATTACTGTGTTCTGTCAAAGACTTTTCATGAAACAAAATAAGCTAATCCAAGCACACACTTAATGTGCAAATGATGCTTTTTGACATTTTATGGGAAAAATAAAAAAAATAGTTTGAAGGTTCACAACTACTAATGTCTAAACTTTTTCAATAACCTGCATCTAATCAGCTTGTATTTACTCAATTAAAAAAAAAAAAAAAAATACCTGCTCTACAACCATTGTACTAAGCTGTGCATCATTGGCCTGAAAATAAAGCAAAATATAAACACTCAGAATTGGCAGCTCCTAAAATTCTGTATAAATTAGCAGCAAAATCAACAAATGAAGAAAAGAGACGCACCAAACATTATCCAATAATTGTAAATGTCATTACAGCCACCAAACAATTAAAGATTAAATATAGACTATAGCAACCAAATCAAAGCCAGCAGAGCTAACAAAACAAAACATGTGGTTCGAAGTAGCTTGAAGTAGCTTAAACCGTAGCTAAAAAATACCGAATCACAAATTCAAGCGCACACAGCAACAGCAGTTATAATTTAAAAAAAAACAAAATAAAATAAAAAATCAAGTGAATCGAATCAAATTGAAACCTGTTGGCGTGAAATGTAATCAGCCTTGATGGATGAGATTGAAAGTAGAAGCTCCGGAAGAGGTAACAGCTTCGCGACCTCGCGAACCGCTGCTTCCTTCGCTTCCACGCCGAGATCCTCAGCCATCACCTTTACACAAAAACAGAAAACAATAAAAAAATCCTCAACTGCTCGGAGAATGCGCTTGTTATACACAAATTATCTTTGTGATTTTCCGGAAACTCGAATTGAGCAAGAATTTGACCAAATTTTACGAAAATTGATCACGAAATAGCTTTCAGGAGCGCGAGAATGTGGTTTTGACGAGGTGAGGATTTGAGATTTGGAGATGAAATCTTAGTAGAGAGAGAATGAGACTGTTCTAGAAAGAGAACTTGAGCTTGAAGAGAAAGTTACACTGTAAATACGACGAGATAAAAAGTGCGAGAGGGATCTTAATTTCACGCGATCTGTAAACGTATAAAATTCTCGGTTTTTTTTTTAATAAAATCTGGGTAGTATATTATAAGTATCAATTTATTACCGATCAATTTCACCGTTAGATCGATTATGTTGATTCAATAATTATATTTATTTCTATCTTTGTATAGTTATGATTCCCCACCATTAAATATGAGGCTGGGGAATCATAACCATACAAAGATGAAAATAAATATAATTGTTGAATCAACATAATCGATCTAACGGTGAAATTGACCGGTAATAACATTAATAATAAGAGTAATTGGTTATTACCATATCTTTCCCCATAAAAGTTAGGGTTTTATAAGAGTTATGTTGTAGGAAAAGTGATTGTGTTATGTTATAGAGATTCGTTTTGCGTGCCAGAGTTTTTTTTTTTTTTTTGCTGCGGGCCCCACAAAATGTTGTGTGTGTAGGAAAATTTTTGTGGTCATGTTAAATGATAGATGATAAACCCTAAAAGTTATCGGTTCTTTTCTTTGGTAAACAAAATTATTGGTTCTTTACCCCATAGATGTGGATAATGTTATTAAAAAGGGCAGGTTATATTTACAAATTTTTTTATTTACAAACTACACTAAGTACGACCGGTCATACTTTAATCATGCAGTGTAGAACCAGTCGTACATAGTGTAATTTGCAAAAAAAATTTGTAAACGGATCCTATCCCTATTAAAAATTTAAAATTGGCTCGATCATTGACCTGGTTGAAGTATCAGGTTACTTGGTTATTGGTTGAGCCGCATGATCCGATGATTACGTGTAAATCTATAATTTATATTAAAAAATTATAAACATACTTAAATAGATGAAAAAAATATAAATTCTAAATATTTTAATATAAAAATAATAAATTATACATTATTGTCCAATAAATGATCAAACAAACATATAACTCTTGTGATATTGGTGTTTCATAAATGCTTGTGATATTGGTGTTTTAGATTCAATAAATGACATCTCTAACCATAAATCAAATTAAAATTTTCTGCATAGTACACAACTAAGATAATATTAGTATTGTAGGTACAAAACTTATGTAAGTCAGTAAGTAACATATCACTCAAATATGTCAATTATGATTTTTTTTGGAAAACATTTTTTTTTGAAATATTTTTTTTAAAAAAAACCTAAGGCGGGTCATTGGTTTTCACTAAAATCAGCCTGGTCGCACTGAGTCTGGTACTTGACAGATTCAATGTGATAACCGGACCGATCATTTGATCGATCCACCGGATTTCGAATCAAGCCAGTCGTAAGCAGCAGATGTGATTGTGATTTGTTCGGGAAGAAAAGGAAAACAACATATTTGGAATAATTTGAGATTAAAGATTTGAGATGTATTTTGAATTATTTATTTATAATTATTTATTTATTTTTTAGATGTTAATTACTTTTATTTAATTTAGGAAATTTTATTATTTTTAGAATTTTAGATTTTTGAATTTTGAATCAATTTGTAATTAGTCTATGAAAAGGTGCTTATGACCCTTATTCTAGGAGTGGAATTTTATTATTTGTTAATAGAAATTGAGAACTGGAGGGTTACGTGAAAATCCTAACTTTCTGTTTAACCATCTTTTTTATGCGCTTTCGGCATCATTCTAGTCTGCTTCTTACAACATTGTGTGGAGGCATTGGTGTGGTCTAAATATTATAATGTAAATTTATACAATGTAATAAATAATTATCTCATTAATTATTATTTTTTTATAATTCATTAAGAATTTAGAATTGATGCTGAAAGAGTGAAAGTGATAGAAAAATAAACTAAATAATGATAAGGAAATTTTCATTTATTTTTCATGGTTAAGAATGTCAAAAAATTATGCTTTTGTATTATAACTTTATTCATTTATTAAATGTTTACGTAGGAAAAAATTGGGGTTAATTTCAAATAAAAAAATTAATGAGATTTTTTTAATATTTGTATTAATATTTTCATTTGAATTTAAATATTAACAAGTGAAAATTTCATTGGAGTTGTTTTTTGTTTATGCAATTAAAATTATTCCGATAATGCATATATTAAATGGTAAAGTAAAAAATAATGACCTTATTTTCGTGAAAGTTGTGATGCCATGTGTCGCGTCAATAGCTCTGACGGCATTGAATGCGTCAAGTTTCATGATGGGATTGCATACAGATGTCCAACATAGTAACATGTCTCGTCAAGCACTGATCTTATACTCTGGCATTACATTTGAAATGTGCTTTGACTTGGATAAATTTTTACAAAATGTCGATAATATGATCGTTTTGCCGGAATATAAGTGATTCAAAGTAATATCACACGTAGATTTTTGAATTTTTCCCCATTTTTTATTATTAGATGAAATTTCAAATGAATTGGTTATTATTAGGTATAAAATTTTAGGAAGGTTATACTTACAACCTTTTCTTTTATAACCTCTTACAACTATATCTTAACACCGTTAATTTTTGCCAATCAACGGTTATTATTTTCACAAATTAAACTCATTAATTAATTATTAATTCACAATAAATGATAACCGTTGGTTGACAGAAATCAACGGTGTTAAGATATGGTTGTAAGAGGTTGTAAGAAAAAGGTTGTAAGTATAACTTTCCTCGTAAAATTTATTCAATACTAAAAAAGTAATACAAAAATATTAGTTAAATAAGTTGTTAGCCTTGAGATTTGGCTATTTTACACGCAGCCCTAAATTTTTCGTATCCAAAAAACATAAAAGAAAAATGGCATTTTTATGAAATACAATTACATTATAAAATATGATCACAATTATCCTAACTTTTACCTATAACATATTTTTTGATTAATCACTTGGTTGATTGAAATGTCCTGAAAATGCCAAAGCAATGGTGACTTGGAAACTAAAAGCTCATTAGCTACTTCCTGCATTGATGGTCTTGATTTTGGGTCCGGGCACAGGCATGCTAATGCTAATGTTACAACAAGCACAATATCTTGCATATCTTTTCGAAAAAAGGGTAGTGGAATACGTGAGTCCAATATATCTTTCAGCTTCTTGTTTTGAATAGATGGTTTATGCAAAGAGCAAACCAATTCAGCTGGATGTGTACCCATCATTGTTTCTAAAGCCACCATTCCAAAGCTATAAACATCACATTTTGTAGTCACAGTCAAGGTATAAGTCAATTCTGCATTGCACTCAAACATTAAATATATGCTGTCAGTAATATTAGTCTATATTTCTATTAATATTTAGATGGTAAAGGAATAGAGACTTTAGAGAGTAAAACATTACCTGGAGCAACATATCCATAAGTGCCAACATGGAAACTTTGATTAGATGAATGACAATCAAGAAGTTTTGCTGTGCCAAAATCTGAGACATAAGCTTGTGACTCCAAGTTCAACAAAATATTGTTGCTAGTAACATCTCGATGAACAATAGGGGGAGTACAATCATGATGCATATGAGCCAAGGCATAGGCTATCTCTTTCACAATATTTACCCTCTTGCTCCAATTCAACTCTTGTGCTTCCACATCATTGGACAAGTTGCAAAACAAGCTTCCCCTTTCCATGTACTCATACACCAAAAACATGCACTTGTTATGCAAACAAAAACCATAAAGTTTAATGATGTTACGATGGCGAATTTTTGTCAAGATCTCGGTCTCATTGCAAAAACTCTTGCAAAAAGATGGATTTTCGGATTCTATTTTGTGAAGCTTCTTCAGTGCAACAATTCTACCACAGGGAAGTTGTGCTTTGTATACACTTCCATAAGCACCAGTTCCTATGCAATACCTGATATCAAAGTCCTCTGTGGCCTTAATTATGTCTTCAAATGCAATTTTACCATCATAGTTCCAAATTGAGAATAAGTCTCCATTCTTTCTTCTTTCCTCATTTCCTAACTCATCGTGAGGGACAGAAAACATGAATTCCCCAACAAACAAAGACACTTGATATAATCATGCCAGTAAGGGCAGAAAGGACAACTAACAAATAATAAGAACCAGAAGAGCATGGGTGACCAAATTCCTTATTACCAATTAATGAGTCTTTTGGAAATCTACAAAAATCAGGATCTGAATAATCAAAAGAATTGTAAGACAAATTGAGGTGAAGAACAGAATGGAGTCCCTCAGGTATGCTGCCTGAGAGGTCATTATAACTAAGATCTAGATAAGAAATATTGCCAATTTGAGAAGGAATGGTTCCATTCAAAGAGTTGTTGCTTAGCTCTACATAGCTACAGTGGTTTAGAATACCATATGGGATGGGTCCCTCAAGCCTATTGTTGGAAATATCTAACACTCCAAGACTCTGGATTTGTCCAATCCCAGATGGAATGAAACCAGATATTTGATTCCAAGATAGTTGAACATTTGTTAGTTGTGTTAATGCAGATATCCCCTCTGGGATAACACCAAAAATCTCATTATCAGAAAGGTCTAAAATTTTGAGATGGACCAAGTGCTCTAGTTCTGCAGGGATGGTACTTTCAATATGGTTTGAATCAAGAAAGAGAGATGTCAAATGCTCCAATTGCCCTAAACTAGAAGGGATTGAACCATTGAGTGAGTTGTTTGAAAGAGTTAACACCTCTAAACATTTTAAATCCCCTAGTTCTGCGGGAATGGGGCCTTCAAATTGGTTTGAGTCAAGGGAGAGTTTGGTTAGATACTTCAATTGACCCAAAGTAGAAGGGATGACACCAGTAAGAAGATTGTTAGAAATATCAAGTGTCACAAGTTGAGTGAGATTTGAAAAAGAACTAGGCAACTCACCTTGAAGACAATTAGAGGACAGGTCAAGATACTTGAGCTTTGTAAGAGAGCCTATTTCTTTGGGGATGCTTCCTTTGAGTCCCAAATCACTAAGTTCTAGATGGATTAAATTGGGAAAAGCAGTTATATTGAAGTTCTGAATCTGGAGTTCTGTTGGAGGAACATAAAAATAATGCCCCGTTGAAATATTTGTAATACTTCCAGCTTCATTACACACAATACCATTCCAATCACAATATTCTGAGATATTTTGGCCTCCCCACCTGCTATGAGGCAAAGCCTCTTGTTCCTCATTTATGGATGAGGAGTTTGATGCAGCCATTTTGGAACTAGCACACAAAGTAGTTGGAAGGAATACCACATACGAGGTGGCAACAAACATAAGTGCCACTACTAGTAACCTGCAACTAGAGTTTGCCATGATGCATACAAACTAGAATGTGTTTTGTTTTTGGAAAAAATGTTTGTCCTTTTAAATGACACAACTTATATTTTTTCACTCTCGCAAAGAGGTGGGACCCACACCTTTATATTTTTTGTCCACTCTCTCTCCTCCTTTATCTATTTCTTTCTCTCACTTAGAATGACACAACTTTACATCCTTTAAAATAATACATATTTTTCTCTTTGTTTTAACTCAATAACAATTATGTTTGCCCCGGGACTATGTAATATGTATAAATAACACTTGCAATTGGCATGGTTAGCACAGCATGTTGAATACAGTGGCTGACCCATGTTGGTGCCAGAAGGTGCCTAAGCACTGGCTTAATTAGCCACGTTCATTTAGCTACACTTGAAACGTAGGAAATCATGTATCAATTTTTTTTTGAAAATTAGCCACGTTTTGGTCGTAGCCAGAGAACCATAGCTATTTAAGCACTAGCTAAATTTTTTGGCACTGGCTAACATGTCATGCTGGCTCCGCCACTGGTTGAATATATGGTTTTAGTTTGAAATTTCCATTCAAATTTTGGAAACAAGAATTTTGTTGAATCTGTGCTCCGTTCAAAATTTCCACAGTGAAACACTTATATTATTGGTTGAAGAGGGGCCACTGTAGAAGTGTGGAATATGGAAGATTGAATGAACATGTGAGATGGGCACATGGACTTAGTAAAGACAAGCTTGATAATTAATGGACAATGGAAAACAAAAGTAGATTCAAGTTATGACTTATCACTATCTAGTTAAAGATTTCTATCATTTGAAGGTTAAATAAGAATAGCTATATGGTATTCAAAAAAAAGAAAAAAAAGAATAGCTATATGTGAATAGGATTTTGGTATTCGGTTTGTCACTATCAAGTTGGTTGTGAACTCTGGCTCCATTTGGAAATACCATGTCCATGTTCAATGTTGCAAAGTCTATTAATGTTCTCTCTCTGATTGAAAATATTTATAGTTTGAAATGCCTAAGTAATCTAAGCAATACTGTAGACTTCTCCTTAACCTGCAAAAGTCAACACATCAAACAACAAATGTTATGAGACTTCAGAAACCTGACTTTTCTACCTAGGGAGGAAGCTAGGTCATGCTGGGGGTTCTTTTAATTTGCTTAGGCCCTTTAAAAAATTGGACCAAACCCACAATCATTTGTTGGGTTTGGACCTGTTTATTGTTACTCTAATGGGTTTTCTTACGGGAGCCCAAAATCAGAGCTCCATTCGATAACATAAAAAATTCGCTTGGTTTGCGTATTGTTTTCTGCTTTCAGATTCATTATTGGATAAGATAAAATTAAGGTTGTACAAAATAACTAAACCGAATGAAATTGTATTTTTCTGAACCTGTTTTATAAAATCAGTTCAAAAAATTGAACCGAATCAAAAGAATCGGTTTGAAAACCTAGTTCAAAATTGGCTCGAAACCAGTTCAAAATTGATTTGCATACCTAAATTAGTTATAAATAGTAAGCTGGTTATGAAACATGAACTGGTTCGAAAAAGTAAAATAGATTTTGATTAAATAAAATAATTAAGTTTTTTTGAATCTAACCGATTTAAACCTATTCAAATTGATTTAGGGGAGAAAATAAATCAATTCGAATCACCATACACACCCTTGAATAGAATGGTTGGAACCACTTGATTATTGAGTGAATAAAAAAGTCAACTCTATCTAACAAAAATTATGTCCAAGTGTTTTTTCTATATCTTACTCACGGGCAATTAGAGCTTGTTTGTCACTTCTCTTTTTTAAGTTAAAAGCTACTATTAAGTTTAAGTTAAAAAAAAAAAGTTTAAAAAAAAGATAAAATTATTTGATACTTGTATAAAGTTGTTCTTAGGGTTTTGAAATAAGAGAGAATAAACAATTTTTGTTGGGTTTAGTGTTTGTCATTTTAAATGATATAAGTTATGTCATTTTAGGAGAGAGAAAGACACGGGAAAATGAAAATCATGGAAGGAGAAAGTGTGTGATTTTTTTTTAACTTAAAATTTAAATAATTTTTTTTTTCTGTGTCTGTCTCTCTCTTAAAAGGACATAGTGTTATGTCATTTAAAATGACAAACAATTTTCTCTTTGTTATTAAGGTAAATTATAAGAATAAATGATAAAATTCATAAATAAAAGTTTAGAATAAAGGTATAATTAAAAAACAAATATGAGAATTCCAAAAAGCTAACATATATCTTAAAAAAATTCCTTTTGGGAGCTTTTAGCTTTAAGTTTTTTTCTTCATTAAAAAAAAAAAAAAAAAACTTTTTAATATAAGAACTTTTATAAAATTATGTTAGGCTAAATTTCTGCTTATAAAAAGAGCAGAGAAGTTAAAAATAAAAGCTCCTAAACAAATACTTAGATTCATGACTTCTCTCAACCAAATGTCAAAAAGACATTGCTTTTTATTGTCAAAGCTGATTTAGCTATTAAGCAAAGCATCTGGGGATTAGCAGGACATTAGCAGCTTTAACAAGAATAATTTTCTCTTTTCGGTTTTCTTATCCACCTCGCATGACTAAAACGTCCTAAATGTTTCTTCTACCTTTTTAATGAAGTATTGGGCTCAAGCCTTATAATATTTCCATTCAGATCAGTGTAAAGAGGAGCTGTGTTGTACTGCACTTAGTGTCTAAATTGCCTTTAAAACGACATCAATATCTTCCAAATTCGGTTCAATTCATATCATCTAAAACCAAGCTTTATCCGCAAAATGAAAACAATAATAACGAGCAAGTTAAATTATTAATTAGTGTACAACGAGGTGGAAAACCACCCACAAACACTCCAGTAGCATCTCACAGTTGTTTAAACCAGATAACTACAATTCCTCTGAAATGTTGAACGGATTCTTTTGACGTGAGATAAGAGAGGAGCAAAAATAGTATCATGAAAATAGAGAAGCCCTTTTTGCAAACTATACATCTTCCATCTCATAGTATACAAACAATGAATAAGTAAATTTTGAATGGTGAGTTAATGACATGCCATCAACAAATTAAAAGTTTCGCAGTTGAATCAAGCTACATACTCCACTACATTTCAGATTAAGCAATTGATAAGGCTACATACTAGTTAAACATGTATTTTTCATTTTCTTTTCACATTTTATTGTATCTTACCACATCGAATCCTAAAATTTTTAAAAACTGTCATTTTCAGTATTCGTATTATATCGCATTATCCATATTTTTTCTCCCTATTTGAGGTTATACTAATGATAATAATTCCACAAATAACATCACCGCATACCAAACTTGAAACTATTATGGGGTACAAAAACGAAGTGCGTATCAATAAGGGGAACAAAATCCAACATCAAAACTACCACCGGGAAACAGTTATAACATGAATGTGTTTCAAAATTTGAAAATCACATCAAAGAAATAAATTTGCTTATCAAACAGTACACAAAAAGTAGAACTCTATCACCGAAAATCTCGCTCTAAGCCACTAGAGTGCTAGCAGTTGTTGATTCACTGCAATATTAGAAAAGCAAACAAGTATTAGAAAACAAAGACAAAGGGGGGCATAAAATTAGTCAACTTACATGCTGTAGCGAAAAGCATTAGAATGTGAAAGGCAGTAATATTTCAGAAATGAGATGCAGCAACAAAATTCCGCAAATGATAACATGAACCTATACTTCAGTGAACTAAGAATAACTAGCATAAAACACTAATTAAGCAGCACAAATTTCAGAGCATGTATACATTGTTCGATCTCCCAGAAAAATCAGCCCAAAATTAAGAGTTAGCAGCATGACTGCAAGCAAGCCTTGTTAACTTAATTCAAATCATTCAAACAACCACTACATTACAAAGATGAAATATTTAGCATCAAGAAATTTTGAGAAGATGCACAAAATCACCCCTCACTAGGTACAAACCATTAGTGTGATACAAAACTTTGTAAAAACCAAACATTTAATATGAATTATGGCAAATATGAAAGATCAAGAAATTAGGGACATTGAAGAAGAAGAACTGTGTAAAACATAAACCATATCAGTAACCAAAGCTAGGCCTTTTGCATAAGTAAAGGAAAAATAGAGAGAAATTCTGTCTGCACATGTTTGCACTGATGTAATGCATATTCTCCAGTGTTTAATTATCTAAAAAATGAACCACACAAATCAATCAATTCTTATGATTCTCTAAAAGTTATGTCAATTATACATAAGATAAAGGGCTTAATACTTACTATTTCCACACAGGTGGAAGTTTCTTTGTTTTCTTATAGTAGCGGGCAAGGCGGTGGATCCTACTCTCAACCAAAATCAACCTGAATTTAGAATCTTTGTCCTTCCTGTTCCTCTCCAAGTGCTTCCTAATTGAGACTGCCTTCTTGATCAGATGATACAGATCTTCAGGGATCTCAGGAGCAAGCCCTAAGAAAAGAGAAAAAAAGTAAAAAAACATTTCAGTCATCAAAAATAAAAGCCATGCAATATTATAACCAGAAACAAGTGGGAAAGCATACCATGGGCCTTCAATATACGCAAAATCTTGCTTCCGGTGACACTCTTCACCTGAGCAATTCCATGAGAGTCACGAAGAATAACACCAATTTGAGATGGAGTCAAACCTTTCTTGGCAAACTTGCATATGTTCTCCTCAACCTGTGAAACTCAAAACATAAGACAACATACGCAAAACAATTTAGACCCAGGCCAGTGTGGTATTAACATAATAATATACAATCAAAATTAAAAACCATGGACAAAACCCATAATCAGTTATTGTGTTGAGTACATAGACTTAGAGACTATATTACTAAATTAAAATTCAAATGCAATTAACATATGTTTAAGATAATTTGGATTTCATAATAACATAACAAATAATGCAAAACAGTAGGTAAAAAATGCTCCATACCCAGATTAAAATTTGCAATACTAAAGGAATAATCATAACAACCCTGATTGCATACGTGTATAACAAAGTAAAATACACACAAATGAACCTCGCATTACAAAAACTCGTACGAATGAAAACTTAAACGGATAAAAACCAAACCTAAAAAAAAAAATCAGATTTTGATTCTACAGACACAATTTTCCAGCATTAAAGAAGAACCCCAATAAAAACAAAGCAAAAGGGGTTTAGATTTCTAACATCCTGAGAAGAGATCTTGAGCCAGCTTGGTGGGGTCCTCTTATAGGGAAGAGCAGAACTCGAAATACCCTTGCTGAAAAAACACATTCAACAAACCAGTACAAAACAACGTTAGACAATCAAAAAAGAAAAAGAAAAGCCTCGAACAAGGGTTTCACAAATCTCTAACATGGAAAGGAGAACAGAGACACTAACCCACGACTGTGCATACGCCCCATGGTGACTGCTTGAGAAGAACAACGTTCTCTCTGTCCTGTCTGCTGCGCCTGCACCAAGAGAAGAAGAACAACAAAGAGAATAGAAGAAACCCTGTGAATATGAAGATAGTGGGAGCTAGGGCATACCTAGATAAATTGGATCAAGGCCATAAATTTTTATTGGGTTGGGCCCAATTTATTGTTATTCTGATAGCCACCATTCTGTTAAATTTTTAAAATATTGGCATTTATATCCTTTTTTTTTTTCTTGGGCATGAAAACCTTAATAAGTTACTAAATATTTATTATTTAATTGTTAGTTTTATTTTAACATTAAACTATGGGAAAATCAAGTATCATGTTGTAGGATAATTCTCTTGTCATGCTATAGAGACAATAAGTGTGGGGTCCACCTTGTTTAAAATAAAAAGGAAAATGAAAGAAAATACAGCACAAATATCGATATATGTGTAGGAAACTTTGTATTTGTCATGCAACATAACAAATGCAAAACCCTTAAACTATAACTGCCGATCTTAACAAATGTTTTAACATCCTTAAAATCTTTTACTTCGATTTAATTTTTTTTTATAACATGTTATCATCCTACATTTTTCTCTTTTTATTTGCAAACTAGTGTATTACATGTGCGATGCACGGGGAAATATAATCAAAAAATCTATCGGCCGCCGTAGTTGGTTAATCGCAATGCAAACCTTATACTTACAAAAAATGGTGTTGCTATTTTGTTCTATTTTTCAGGTGAAAAAAACTACAACATTAACACAGAACTTTGCAAATATCAACCACAAACAAAAATATGCTATTTAGAGTGATCAATTATTATGCAAATCAAAAATAATTATCCACCCGATGAGTTATGTAAAAAATAAATACGCCATAGTAGACTGTTAATATGAGAATGGCTTAAAAAAAAAAAATGCATACAACTTATTGCTAAATATAACAGCCACCAATAAAATTAAGGTAACAATAAAACCAAGCAAATATGGAATTAAAAGATCAGCTTGTACCTATAATAAGAAAACGCTATTAATTTAGTGTCATTCCGTAGCAATCATTGGAGGGATGAGTTCAACACATACCAAACATGTGATTTTCTATGATTATGCATTACTAGGGACATCCTCTTCTACCATCATATTTATGTCTGCGATACAGAATGCAAATACTCAGTAAATAGATTATGCTAATATGTTAACACCCAGAAGTAATAGTCTTAGCAAAAAAAAAAATTGGATTACCTTTTTTTTTACAACCCAAAAAACGTTGTCTGTAAGGGATTTGAAAGCAACTTAACCAAATAGGCATGTATGAGTCATATTTTTTGCTTACATTAGAACAAATGTGTCTAAACAACATCAAATCAACTCACTAATCTTTGAAATACTTCCTTATAAACGATGTTAAAGGCTAATATTCGTAACGCAACCATTATCATCTAGTATCAATATCTTCAATTTTGTTTGAAATAAATACTTAATTTTGTTTGAAATAAATAGTGATGCACAGCCGAAAAATTAGATTTGTCTTCAACGAAATCAGTAAAATTCGCAAAAGGTGTCAACAAAGACAGGAAAATTTCAGCATCAACAGTACTGTCACAGATTTGACTCTTAACATCCTGGTGAGAAATAAAAAATGTATGAAATAAAAAACAATTTTGAAATTCTTTTTATTCATTAAATGTGATATTGATAATAATTTTAATACATACCGCAGTTTTCCCCGTTTTCACCGATACAACATCATCGGAAGCATGATCGAAGATTGCTTCATCCTATAATTTTTTTAATCGCGGAAAAAAGAAGAAGAGGGGAGGAACTGAAAAGTTTTTTTATAGGTAGTATAATTTTCAATTAAAAATCTTACAATTCCAATGTACAAAGGATAATGGGACATTAATTTGATATCAGTATGCCACTAACACTTTAATTTTGAAATTTTATTTACTTAAAACTTAATTTTTAGTTATTTATTTATTTTCAAAATTGGCATGTAAGTGTGAACACACTGTATAAACACAAAGCTGAAATTGACAAAAAGCTTGACACGTCAGTTTTTTTGGTTCTCCTTTAGGATAATAACTATTGTATTTCCGACTATAAAAACCGGAATAAGTTGAAGTCTAATGATTGATTTTGTAATATCCCAGAAAATTAACAGTAATTTATAATAATAATAAAAAAATAATGAACTATAAATTAGTAGTAATAATATATATATATATATATATATATATATATATATATAATGGTTATATTATAGATAACAAATTATAATATAAATTTTGATAAAATAATTGTGTGCCATATATGCGCGATATGAGTGCTATTGGAAAATAATTTTGATACTTTGTAATACTCTAGATTATTTATAATAAAATAATATTAATATGTATATATATATATATATATATATATATATATATATATATTAGATGATAAATTATGATTAATTGATTGATGATTTATGTATTAATGTTTGATCAGTAATGTTTGATTGGTAATTTGATTAGATATGATGAGTCAGCCTTGAGTTAGCAAATAAGTTAGCTGTATTCTGAGCCATAAAGAAATTAAGAATAAAAAGAAAATAGTGTATGAAGCCAATATCTGAGCCAGATACATCAATGAGGAATAAAGAAATAATTGCACGAAACCCATATCCGAACTCAAAACTTCAACTATAAATAGAGGTCTAACCTAACCAAACCAATTCACTCTCAATATTCAATAATTCTCCACTACTCTTCTTCTCCGCTACACACTCTCTCTCTCCTCACTTCAAATTTTTTTATTTATTATTATCTTTCTTTGGTTACCAACCGCTACTCTTCCCCAAATTGTAGAAGTCACCAAACACTGAAATCAGGTAATACTAATCCCTAGAAAATTGTAGATTATCTTTTAAATGAAATTTGTTTGATGTGATTTCAATGCTTAAGAAATTCTAGGATTGTCTTATTTGAAATATGTTGTATGAAATCTTAATCCTTAGGAAATTTATTATTATTATTAAGGATTAAGATTTCATAAGGATTAAGATTTCATACAACATATTTCAAATAAAACAATACTAGAATTTCTTAAGCATTGAAATCACATCAAACAAATTTCATTTAAAAGATAATCTACAATTTCCTAGGGATTAGGATTACCTGGTCTCCGTGTTTGGTGACTTCTACAATTTGGGGAAGAGTAGTGGTTGGTAACCAAAGAAAGATAATAATAAAAATAAAAATTTGAAGTGAGGAGAGAAAGAGTGTGTGTGTAGAGGAGAAGAAGAGTAGTGGAGAATTATTGAGTATTGAGAGTGAATTGGTTTGGTTAGGTTAGACCTCTATTTATAGTTGAAGTTTTGGGTTCGGATATGGGTTTCGTGCAATTATTTCTTTATTCCTCATTGATGTATCTGGCTCAGATATTGGCTTCATACACTATTTTTTATTCTTAATTTCTTTATGGCTCATAATACAACTAACTTATTTGCTAACTCAAGGCTGACTCATGATTGACTCATCATATCTAATCAAATTACCAATCTAACATTACTAATCAAACATTAATACATAAATCATCAATCAATTAAACACAATTTATCATCTAATATATATATATATACATATTAATATTATTTTATTATAAATAATCTAGAGTATTACAAAGTATCAAAATTATTTTCCAATAGCACTCATATCGCGCATATATCGCACACAATTATTTTATCAAAATTTATATTTTAATTTGTTATCTATAATATAACCATTATATATATATATATATATATATATTTATATATATATATTATTACTACTAATTTATAGTTTATTATTATTATATTATTATAAATTACTGTTAATTTTCTGGGATATTACAGTTAATTTTCTTAATTCTTTTTCATAACTTTTTATAATATGTATTTTTCTTATTTATTTTTTACGTATAGAGCATAAGTTTAGCTCAATGGTTGAAATAATTTTTAATTACAATATCGTAGTTTAAAATTTTTGTTTGGTTGAATGCAAGATAGTAGATAATCTAACTTATATGAACAAGAGCATATAGCACACTATTCAAATTTCAAATTTGCCCCCTAATTTTATCAAATATTTATCTTAGACTATACTCAAATTTTCAAAAAAAGGCAATGTATATTCCTCGCGTATTAAAAAATCTTCCGAATTTAATTACGTAACAATCCACTTCTGTTTTCCTGCTTAATTAATATGAATTCTGAATGCTTTCCCCTCTCACCAAATTTTATATGAATTGTAAATTTGAATTGCTTATATGAACATGCTAAACTGGTTTTACATTGGTAAAAGAAAAGAAAAATTTATGTACAGCACAACTATGTTAGGCCTCGATTCAATTTTGAGACTAACAGATTGTTACATCGACCACTTCTTATCAATAGAGCTAGGCTTGGCTAAGAAAAAATTCACTTTTCATGATTCCAAAAAAAAAAAAAATTCACTTTTCATCCACAATGCACAAGTCACTCCCCAACTCATACAACATCCAAGATGGAAGAACTTCAAATTAGGAATTTACAAACTACTTAACAGAGAATAAATCTCAGTAACCTGAGGGTGTGTACTATCTTGTGCAGAGAATTGGTGAACAATTCCCCCAAGTTCAATCCAACTACAACCTGGAATTTTCTTTAATTGTCTTTCTTTCATTTCTGTCCTAACCTTTTTAACGTTGTCCCACATGCTCAAACTGGCATAAATATTAGATAGGAGCACATAGGAACTTGGATTGCATGAATTTAGCTGAATCAATTGCTCAGCTATAGGCTCTCCTATAGATAAGTTTTCATAAATTTGGCAAGCACTTAGCAAAGTCTTCCAAATCACATCATTGGGTTCAATAGGCATCTCCTCAATTAGTTTCTTGGCTTCTTCAACATGCCCTGCTCTACTAAACATATCCACCATGCATCCATAGTGTTGCACTTTAGGTTCCAGCTTGTAAACTTTTTGCATGAGCTCAAAACATATCAGTCCCTCCTTCAACATGCCAACATGGCTACAAGCACTCAACACTCCAATGAAAGTGATATCATCAGGTTTAATAGAAAGCCTTTCCATCTCCATGAAAAATTCGAATGCCATTTCACCCATTCCATTAATAGCTAAGCCACCAATTACAGCATTCCAATGATCAACACATTTTTGTTTGATATTCTCAAACACTGAGATAGCATTCTCAATGCTACCACACTTTGAATACATGTCAATCAGGGCAACGCCAAGTTTACCACTCAGAGAGTACCCATTGTCCCTTAAATAATGGTGTATCGCAACTCCAACTTCAACATGTCCTAATTGGGCAATTGCTGTAAGAACAATCAACAACGTTGTATCATCAGGTATCATATTTGTTGCCCTCCTCATATCATTGAATAGTTTCAAAGCCTCAATGCAATAACCATTCTGAACATAGCCAGTCATCATTGAGTTACAAGAAATGATGTCTCTCCCTGGCATTTCATCAAACAAACTCCTTGCAGCGACAACATCACCTGATTTGGCATAACCATCTATCATAGTTGCCCAACTGACCAAATCCCTTTCTGGCATCTCATCAAACAATGCTTGAGCATCCTCCATCTTCCCATGCTTTACACAACCATCAATCATTGTGTTCCAAGAAACCAAGTCTCTCTCAGGCATTTTAAGAAACAAACTCCAAGCAAACTCAAGCCCATCTTCACATCTAACATACCCTCTAATCGTTGAATTCCAAGTAATCAAATTCTTCTCCTCTGGTAGCATACCATCAAACAACTCACGTGCTCTTTCAACCATCCCATACTTCACATACCCATCAATCATCGAGTTATAAGAAACAGAATCACGCTCAGGCATTCTATCAAACAGTTGCCGAGCAAGCTCAACACACCCACATCTCACAAACAATCCAATTAAACAATTCTGCAAAAACACATCAGACCCAAGATTTGTTTTACACAACAACCCATGAACCTGCATTCCTTCTTTCATCAAACCCACCTGAGAACAAGCCTTGAAAACCAGGGAAAACGAATACTTATCCAAACAAACCCCATTTTCAAGCATCAAGCAGAGCACAACAAGAGCCCCTCTTGGGTCAGAACCATGAGAGTAAGACCTGATTACAGCATTCCAAAGAAAAGGGTCATCTTGCAAACTGGGAACACGAAAAGCATGGTGCTTGAAGAAGACGTAGCGAGCAAACTCAAAAAGAGGCTCACGAGGTGAAGAAATGAAACTGAGAACGAGTCTGGTGGTGAGGGAAGTGTTTTTGATGAACCCAGTTGTTATCATGCGTGCATGGATTTGATTCACGTGTTCTATGGTTGTGCATTTGGGGAACATGATGAGCGTGGGAATGGTTGAGGCCCATGGTTGGTATGAAGAATTAGCACACACAAGCATCAATGACTCAAAATTTTGAGCAAGAAAAGTTGTCTATAAATTAGAGGTTTTTCTTAGTGCAAAACAACTTGCATGTCAGATTCATCAATTGAGGTAAATGAAGCTTTAACACTCTTTGCCTCTCATTTGGATAGGGTTATCTTTGTTGTGACTTGTGAGGGAAGAGAAAGGATTGTGTCCATTATTTTTATTTTATTTTTTCAAGAGTCTCATCTTTTTCTTTATTTTTGGTCTGGGTTCTAACTTCTAAGTTTCTTTACCTTTTGAAAATGTGGAAAAATTAGTACAAGTTATTTTGGTCTTAACAAAAAATGTTGAAATTTCAACTACAATGTTAGGGGTATTTGGTAAAGGAATTTCATTTTGTTGCATGGAAAAGTGGGGATGGAATTTAAAGAAGATCATGTTTGATAGGGATTTGGAAAAAATTTGCCTAATAAACTCATTTGTTTGACAATATGATTTGTGTGTAAAATTGAAGGTAGAATATCATCTGAAGGGTGGTATTTTAATTTTGTCGGCAAACCAAAAATCGACAAACCAAAAATTTGGGTGCGAAAAATGGACAAAAATATTTCTCAAATTGGGTTCGAAAAATTTAAGAAAGAGAGTCTTCTTCGTAATTTCAACTCAATTTTTCGACAATATTTTACCTTCAATCAAATATAGACTCAGGAAACTTAAACTAATTTTTCCGATAATATTTCGACCTATCAAATATTTTTTTTTTAACTTTCTCAGAAAACTCATTTTCCCACCACATTCCCAGTAATTGTGATTTCTTTGTAAAAAAAATTTCTCCTCTACCAAACGTCCGCTTGTGTCAACTACATATTCATATTCACTTTAAACAATTCTATAATTATACATTTATTTATTAATTTGAAATTATTTAAATAGTTTTATTTTAAAAATAAAATTAATAAATTATTCATATATGTCCTATCAACTCATATAATAAATAAATTAGGATTTAATGTGTATACTTTGAAAGGATATAAGCTTATATCCTTTCACCCCTTATAAATATGTACTTCGGGAGTACATAGTTATAATATGAAAGTTTTTTTTTCCTCTACGTCAGCCTACAAGTTTCTGAAGAGAAAAAAAAGTAACTTTAATATTATAACTATGTTTTCCGAACTACATAGTTACAAGGAGGTGAAAGAACATAAGTTTATATCTTTTAAAAGAATAAATAATTTTTTCAATAAATTATAGCAAAAATTAATATTTGATATAAATAAATATTTATATCAAATTCGTGTGGATCCAAACATAACCTCCCAACCATGGTAGTTAAAATCCCGATTTAAATATGCGTTTTTAAGATTTTACCATTTTTTTTAATCAAAACGAGTTCATCAAAATTCCAAACGCTTTTACAATTTTTTTTACATTAGAATTTTGCGTTTTATGATTTTTTATCCTCTTTCCAATTTTAGGTAAAAATCCCGATTTTAACTACATGCTCCCAACTCCAGTAGCCGGCCTATATAGGCTCTGAATTCTTATTTTGTTGTGTTTTTTCAAATTTCACAACTTTCTATCTTCCGGCGAAGGGACCCATGGATTTAAAAAAGAGAAATAGTTTTCTCATTTTAGTAAGAAAATTTTCTCATGTTACATTCATAATTAAAAGGTGAGACCACTGGGCATAATGATAATTGACTGTTAAGGGAAGTTATTTAAAGTATAACTGTTGATAGGTGCAGTTATATAATAGGTAATGGGGAGTTTCTTATCATAGAGGCTTTTTGAGAAACTGACGGTCCATCATTGTCTGCCCATGAGAGTTGTATCTCATCCCTATCAGAAGAAGATACAAGAACAGAAAAGGGTCAAGACTCTGAGAAAGTATTCTACCGTAAAAGATCTTCCGCATTTATGGACAAATGTATGTTTATGTGAAACTCATGAATTCTAAAGATCCTCTTTCATGTTCTTGATGTGATTGTTGATGAACATGAATCACTGATTATCACTTACACACTGGAGATAATTTATCTTCGATGATCGAAAAAATACTTTAATCTTAAAAAATGGGGGGAAAATGATGGCACATATTTTGATGTCTTTATGATAGGAGATTATTGTCTCCGTAAGAGAAGTATTTCCCATTATTTTTATACATTAATGATTCTGTCATGTAAAAGCTTTATATTTTTCTGTCTTTATATAAAAGGGCAAGATATACTTATCACCAAAAAAATTTACAACCAACCTAATCACCGTTGATTTCCGTCAATCTAACGGTTATAATTTATTGGATTTATTAAGAATTAACAATTAATTAATAAATGCGATCCAATAATTTTCAATAAATTATAACCGTTAGATTGACGAAAATAAACGGTGATTAGGTTGGTTGTAAAAGTTGTAAACTTTTTTAGTGGCTAGATATAATTAAATTTTATCAAAATTTTGTGAGTATTCATAAAAAAATAAATTAAATTTTTACATGACTTTATCATCATATAAAATTTTAATATAAGAAGATTTATTTCCGCTAATTATTTGGTTGAAATGGCAAGTATTATGTACCCTCTATTGCTCGATCTCAAAGTCCTCAAGGACACAATAGACTTGTTCACTGAGCAATCCAAATGCAAAAAAATTTCTGCTGTTGCAGGTAAAAAGAGGGAAAATGTTGATCTTTTTGAAAAAACAAATGGTCAAACCTTGATGAATGACTTGATTTGAAACAAAAATATATCTGTTGTTGAAGTCTTATGGGAAAAGTTGGCCAGATTCTGGATAATTCAAGTTTTCCAAGTTATAACATAGACTAAGCATGAGAATATTTTTCTTATACATGGAGTATTTTTGTTTCTAAACTTTGTTTATTAATAAAGTCAATTACATTTCCAATTGGAAATAAATTCAAGTTCCATATATTATTCCTTCTTGTTGAAATTTGCATTTAAATTTATTTTTTAAAATCTATTTTGTGTATTCTTAGACATTGTTCTATAACAAGCATCATTTACATTTACAGTGTCCAACGGCCCAACGGGTTAATAAATGTTCATGAGCAATGTCTTCTAGTTTTGGCTTTTATTCTAGACTATTAGTATATAACATCGCTGATACATTCTCATTAGACTCTTAATTTTGGGATGCTAACCTAGATTGGTGGCTGCAAACATTATAATAATAGGCTTTATATAGCTAATTAATTAAATGGTAAATATGAACTTAGTCCATTCCTTTCATGTATTTATATGTTAAAACTTTCAATAATCTGATTTACAATAATATATTGACTGAAATCATTGGTACAAAAGGATGTCAATTGTTTTAATATGTTAAAAAAAATATTCTTATAAAATGAATTAGTTTTAAAATAAAAGTGTTGATTTTATGAAACAAATTTATATACTTTAAACCTAAAAGTTATATACTTTATTGAGAAATATTATATTTACAAACTTTTTCGTTTACAAAGTCTTACAATCAAATCTTAATCGTCGATCCTATAATTTGAAGGTTATAATTTATTAAAAATTAAAAATTAATAAATAAATGTGACTCAATAAATTATAACTGTTAAATTGACGAAAATTAACGATTAAAATTTAATTGTAATAATTTGTAAGTGAAAAAATTTGTAAATATAATATTTTTCATACTTTAAACCTAAGAGTTATGCTAATTAAAATCACTAGGATTGGTTTAGTAGTGAGAAATTTGAATAGGTTGTATTAAATTATATATTCAATTTTTATTTGTATAAAAAAAAAAGTTATGCTATTTTTGGAGCATAATTTTTTTTTTTTGATCTAATCTTTTAAGTATTAGGTAACCAAATTAAAAGATTTAACGCTCCAAATTTCAAACAATCACATGTCACTTTATTTTCTATTGTCAAAGACTAACATCACTTTTGCTTTGTTTTTCTTTTACTTTCATTTTCAGGAACAGTTATTGGTCAAAAGTACAAAGTTTTTTAGCAGCAAGTAGTATGTAGTATTACGTCATATTTCCTCGAGACAATAAAGAATTGTTTTAAAAAAAAACAGTGAGATAAGCTGTTTTGACTTAATAGAAAATGATGAAATCATTGGTATTATGACACAATGTTCCCATAAATTATTTTAGGTACACAAAGCAAAGGACAGAAGCAGCTAAACAAAGAACTTATTGGTCATATACTATCATCATTCACTGGTTAGATTATTTGGTTCTTGTGCCAGTTGCTTGTTTACTTCTGGAGCTTATCATTACTTAATAAAGAATGTGCAAAATTGCTAGTAATTTGCGTCAAATTATCAAGAAAGCCACACAACTTGCAGACCTTACAGCTAATATCATTAAAAAAATTTGTGTACTTTTAAGAATAATAAACTCAATGAGTTAAATCCGTATATCCATAGGTTTAAATTAGACTAAATATTTTTTTTTGGTCCAAATAAAAAGGCTCATCGTGGTCTCTTAGAAATTCAAAATGAGCCTATTTTAGTCCTTTTGAAGACTAATATGGGTCTTTTTTGAATTTGTGAGTGACCACGATTTAAATATCATTTTTGGTCCTCAACAAATTTCACGATGCCTGTTTTAGTCCCTAGCAAATAAAAAGTCTCATTGTGGTCCCTAAGAAATTTAAAATGGACTTATTTAGTTAAGATCGTGGTTCCTCACAAATTCAAAAAAATCCATATTAGTCCATCAAAAGAACTAAAATGAGTCCATTTTAAATTTCTTAAGGACCACGATAAGCCTTTTTATTTGCTAGGGACTAAAGCGGGTATCGTGAAATTTGCTGAGGACCAAAAATAGTATTTACTCTTTTTATTTTTTATGTGGATTTGGCTATCAAGGTTATTAGAGATATATAAAACCATTAATATAATTTCACGCAATAGTTTAAGCTTTGGGTGAATTGGTTCTTTCCATTGTATCAGAGTCTCAGTGTATGGATTTGATCCTCACTACCCTCACTTTCTATTCTATTGTGAAATTTTCTTAGCACAAGTAAGTGAACATATACATTGTCCACCCTTCAAGTTCAGTGGCCTCTTGTGTGAGGGAGTGTATTAGA